CTGCTCTCCAGGCCCCCCCACTGGCTCTCCAGGCCCGCCTCCCCCCACCGCCAGGCTTACTTCTGTGGTCCCAGGCTAACCACCTCTCTGATATGTCCTTTGGCACCGTTCTGTCCAGAATTTATTAATGACTTGGCCGGGATCTCTGCAAGTGCACTGATCTCATTCGGGGCTGCTGGGAATATAGACTATGAACCAGAGGCTGGGAGAAGGACGTGCAGCCGTGGGCTCAGAGGGAAGGGGCGTGGGCGTTGAAGCACCGTGCCCAGGAAACTGAGCCCAAGTGATTTCTGAGACTCGGAAGAAAATGCTGACGGCCATTTTCCCCCCTTTTCCTTTTATTTTAAAGATTTTCAAACATACAAATGGGAAGAACATTGATACTGGAAATGTACATATCTGCTGCTCCAGCAGCCGTTAACGCTTGCCCGTGTGATTCTGCGAGCCACACCCTCCCATGAATAGTGTCGCTCCATCCCATCGCTGGGAAAGGACATTGGTGTTCCTTTCGTGACCTTAGTCACCTTCGTGTCATTATCTTAGCCCGCAAAACAGCCCAAAGTCAAGAAAAATCAGTGTTGTTACTAGGCAGAGGTTATTATTGTGGCGTGGTTGTAACATTACGATTTTATGATGGCTGGACAGAGGCATTCAGAGTTTGGAGGGAGTGTATATTCATGACTCCTTTCAGTTCCGTGATTCCGTACTCCAACTTTGGAGCATACTATCGCCTATAAAATTATTTCATTTTTATTTTGTTTATGTTTAAATTTAGAGCTTTTCAGGAAAATTCCTCAATGGATTGTGTTTATTGGGTAGATGGAATAATGCATTTTTGAATGTGATTGGATGTTGTCTATGGAATGTGGTAGAATGTGGTTTATATGGTTCATCAGAAAAGGCATGGCATATCTTTCTGTTTTGTTTTTTTTTATGCAAAGATGCATCATGTCTTTAAATTTAGACAACCCCCCAGTTTACCTTTACTGCCCATGTGGGAGTCCAGCACCCTTAACCACCACGCCACCTGCCATTCTGCCAAGCAGAGGCACTGGATGGTCTTGGGGGAAGAGAAGTGCCGCCATAAGGTAACGAGACAACC